CTGACCCCGCGCAGGGGATCGTGCGGGGCGAGACGCAGGTGAAAAGCACAGCGAGTGTCCTGGGCTCTGGGGGCGGTGGGGAAGCACCGGGGCAGGAGCTCGCGTCTTGGCAGCGGCCCGCCAGCGGCGCGGAGCTGATCGGCAGCGCCATGTCCCCGGTGTAACTCTCGGCGCAGTCAGGGGTCAGGCCGGCTCTCAAAAGTTTATCCCTCGTATGATCATCGAACCTTAGCACCACTTAGCTGTGATCAGGCGAGGTTAAAACGCGTAGCGCCTTGTACGGTACCGCAGTTACGTGTGGAGTTACAAATAACGACCGTGATTAACCTCCTTTTTCTGGATGCCGCCTTTGTTGGGGTTTTGTTAAAGGCGAAACGGGAATAGGAGTTATTTGCTTTGGACGTTTGTCAGGTGAGCGCTTGGTACAGTTGGGGGAGCCCTGGAAAGGTTCAGTGACAGGAGCCTGCGCTGGGAGATGTAACATCTAACTGGAGGTTGGGAGAAAGACCTACTTCAGAATAGGTCATTCAAGAGTTATATGAAAAAATACATTAAAGTTGCTTTGTGTAGTCCCCTGGTGATCTGGGAACTGTACCTGCACTGTCTGGTGTATTTGCTTCCTTGCCTTTGAAAATTCAGGAGGTGTCACTATTTGTGGAGCTGAACTGTGAAGGTTTTGTTGGGAAACGCTGAGTTTGGGTGGCTGACAGGAGAGCTTTGAAGACTTGACTTTATTTAAACTAATATCCCTAAATGGTCATTACCTGTATTGAAAACAAAGGATTACACAGCTGACCACTAATGTTTTGTCCGTATAATATATATACTTTTAGGATACACTGTCTTGATAGCTGCAGGAGGAGCTACTTCTTGTGTGAGAGGAATTACATCTGGATTTGATAGTCCTGCCTGACACAGAAGAGATTTATTTTGAACTAACTTTCCTCTTGTATTTTTAAGAATATTTTGTCTAGTATCAGAATACAAAAAACCTGAAGCTGATTTGAGTCAGCTTTCTTATTTTTTCCCAAGCAGGCAAATACTTCCCCACCACCACCCTGCACACCCTGTTGCAGATGTGTTATAGACCACAAGGGAGACGGGGGGGAAAAAAAAAGATACTAAATGGCCTCTCCCTTCCCTGAGAAAATGAGCAAAATTTTTTCTAAGCAGGAGAGCAGAAAGGGAGCCCTTAGGTACTGTGAGGATTTGGCCTAGGCAACACCTGTTTAGCCAAAAGCAAAAGTCTTCAGATAAATAATGATGTAAATGTGAGTGAGATTAGTTGAAGGCTTTGAGATAACAGAGATGACAGTTATACAACCACCAAACTACTTATATTTCTAGATATTCCATATGAAGAAAGTAAGGAGCTGATACTATTGGCATAAAACCTACACCTACACATTGCTGTGTAGATGCTGTGCTATCCAGTTTGTCACCTCATGTGCGTTGTTAAATTTCAGCCATGAAACCCTGCAGCAATTATTAGTGTTACTGTGGTACTCGTCCACATAATTTGCTGTAAGACGTTCTCACATTGGATAATATTAGATGTCCCACCCATGGTATATAAATATCCAATGCAAAGTATGTAGAAGAGAGACTATTTGAAACCATGGCTTTGAAGGAAGATGAATATTGAAGTTATTCTGTTGCATGACATCTAGACAAGATGCGCCTTTCCTCTGCCCCATGTTGTCAGCTTGCTTCATTTGTTCAGCTGTATATTTGGGTTCTTCAAAAATAATAAGTTTTATATCCACAGACAATCAGGTCCTGAGATGAAGCCTGAGCACATGTGAAACACAGATGTAGAAGGCTAAGCGTGTGATGGCTTAGAAAAATATTCTTGGGTGCACCCGGTGATGTTCATCCTAAGCTATTGAGCAGTACTGAACAAAAGTGAGGCACTGTCCAGGAGCAACCCCTAGCTTTACAAATCCCTCCTACAGTGGTCTGATCCCCCAAGCTCTGTCTATGAAAAAGGTGCTTACTGTCAGGTTGGGCGCTGCCTGTTTGATGTGCTGAAGCTGTAGTCTGTTTAGCTGTTGGCATTCTGTAAATACTGTAATAAACCAACTGGTCCTAGGGAAGGTTTCACCTCATGGTCATGACCTGTGGTGTCTAAAAATCTCCTGCTCCTGTATGTTAAGGGAGGCAGTTTGTAAATAGGGCAGGTCCCCTGCATAAGGACAGTGTTTTTATTCACACCCAATGAACAAACACCTCCACCCACTGTTGTTGTTTTAAAAGACTCCAGCTGCTCATGAATATAGGGTCAGGGAGGGCCGCCTAAATGTTTCTCTGTGCTTTCTCCCCAGCGCAGCCAGCAGAGCTGTTTCCTGTTCTTTGTTTCAAGGCTGGGGTTTGCGTCACACATTCCAAGTGGCATATGTGGTGCTCTTTCCTGTTTCGGGCTGTTTTCTGGCAGATCGGTGGCCCCATCCAGGCCCCTTGTCACTGCCCCTCAACTCCCAATCCCCACCCAATGAGTTATCATGTCTCTACACACTCACGATTGCTTAAGATGCCTGTGTTATGTCATAATGAGGTTTCCAAGTTAACCTTTAACGTACGCCCTCGACTCCAATATAGTTATGGGGGTGAAATGGAGAGCTTTGCTGCCTTCAGTAAAAACTTGTACTCAAGTCTCCAGAAGGTTGTGAGCCAGTTTTCTGCTCTCACTTGCTCATCAGCTGATTTGGAACAGCTCCATTAAAGAAACAGAGTTGCAATGATGTAAAAAGAGTGTAAGTGGGAAAAGAATCCACATTTGTAGGCTCATACTTGGAAGAGGGTTTTGGCTTCTGCCTTTACCCAACCGGAATGGCCCACCATAAGTGCTTTGTATTTCCAGATCTCAAAAGGAATATATATTTTCTTCTTATACAAACTGGAAGATTCCCTGTCTTCCAGATGTAAAAAGAAAATGAGGCACTGCTGGCTAACTTTTCTTTGGAATACATATGACTGTCCCACATTTTGCATTTTTGAAGGCATAAAAATCAAACTTTTACTCATGTTTTTATATTTGTCTTCTCCCCTCGTCCTGTTGGAGGCAGACATAGAGAAATATTGAGGGGAAATTCAGAAAGAAAACATAAATCTTTCTGTTGCTTTGGATTTGACAGAAGAAGAGCTAAAGGACCCAAGCCAAAGCTCATTGAAATCAAGAGAAAGACTTGTATTAACTTCAGTGGGCTTTTAATCAGGCCCTGGATGAAAATGCAAGATGGAGTGTTTATTTTTCTTTGTCACTTAGGGGCCCGGAATGTGCATGGTTTCAGTACACACAGAAATACTTGCACCCTGTCATTTTACCCCTTTTTTATTTCACTCATTTTTTAACTAATCTTTTAGCTCCTATTGTTGTTCTTTTGTGTGCTAATAGTTAGCTGTGATCATTGCAGGTATCATTTAAGAAGTATGTGAAATACATGCTTTGAACTTCCTCTTTCAAGGCTTAATTGTGAAAAACAAATTTTTACTGAATTGTGTGCACATCCATACATTGACTTGTTTTTTGTCTGTTCAGAAATCCAGATAACAAGGAGTATTTGGCCACACAGTTTTGGTAAGTTGATTATTGATTATTTTCATTTGTTACTCTCAGTGTTTTTACTTAGTTGTTTTTCTGTTAATTTTAGAATACCATGGATGAGTTTATCCATTAGAAACCAATTAGATATCTTAATTCTGATGCTGTTAATATGCACAGGATTTCAAACATACTTTATATTTTTTCCCATGACAGAGGATAAGTGTTGCATTTAACTGCATTTAATATTGGAAACTGGTGTATAATAAATGCAGTACATTTTGTGGTTCACACCTTTTTTTTAGCCGGAAGTTCTACAAAATCGGGGACTGAGATTAAAATTATAATAGTTTTGTAAATGAACTTTTTAATTAACACTGCTAACAGGAGGTCTTTTAGAGTTCTTTTATGCTGTCAGCATTGAAGCTTTGTGTTTTCATTCCGAGGTTAGTTGCTTCCAATCCAGAATATGAAGTTTGGCAGAGCTGGTTTTAGGAGAGATTTAACCCTTCCCTGTTAAGCATTCGCTTGATGCTGAGGCTTCCTTTGAGGGTTTTGTAGCCGTAGTTGGTATCTCCCAGGGGAAGGAAGTGTAAGTGTAGATAGCCAAATGGAAAGATAAAGCTCTAACAGGTTTTTAATAGTAAACTAAGTCATAATGGAAAAAAAAACAAATGCGGGGTCTGCCTATCATGCAGTCAGTGTGTGTTACCAACAAACTAACTTGATCCATGAAGGCATGACAGACTTTAAAGAGTCTAAGCTGCTTTGATCAGTGCCTCATTTGTAAACACTACACTATCCAGCTCTTCTCCGTTTTTTTTTTTCCACTTCCGTAGGTACATAGAAGCTCATTGACATTTGCCCTGTGTTCAAACCCTCATTCAAATTAATTATTTAAGCTATTATTCATAAATGTACACTTTCTTTCTTTAGCATGAGATTTTTTTCTTCTTCCCTAAAATCAAAAATGTTGAATCTCTGTTTCATATTTCATGAAACAGCAGAACTCTTTACATAAAAGAACAGTATTTTCTGTCGTTCTTCCCTTGTAATAAAAATATAGGATTTCTGTTTCTTCTTTTAAATTATCTTAAAAATTAACCTCTTAAGAAAAACACAACAAAAAACAAAGTTCAGTTTGGAAGGGAAAGATTATCATACCATTCCACATACTTCACTTGTTTTCAAAAGTCTGATCTTTTATCCTTACTAGACTGTTTCTCCTTCTAAGAAGTAGCTTGAGACAGGAAACCAGACAGCAGTCTGCCCTGATAAGGGAGAATATTGTCTAATGGATGTACCTCGAGAGCTTTTCCCTTTAGGTTCAGTAAACGTGGAACTGAAGGTTCAAAAGTAGAGAAGATATTTTCTTAATGAGAACTGCAAGAACTTTTCTGCCCAAAATTTTTACATACAAGAATGCCATTTTCAGGCATGTGGCTTCGAAGAGTCTGCAACAGGATTATCGTAAATTTAATGGAAATACTGGTTAGTCTGCTACACAGCTGATAAATGATTATGTTGATTATGTCAAAGCAGTTCTAGGTAGTGACATCAACAAAGTTAGGATGCACAGGTTGTGCAAAAAAGCAGATTTTTCAGCCTGCTTGCAGTTCTGAAAGGAGAAAGGTAAAAGATTTTCAAGTCAATAAAACGCAAAAATGATCTGAAATACTAAATAACAGAATCCTATAGAAGTGTTCTTTTTCTTTATGCCTATCACATAGAACTTTCAGCAGAAAAATTTTGCCCAGGTACTGTTTTCTTTTTACATGATATCTTAACTTTTTCAACAGTTATTACCATTTTCCAGTGGAAATCCAGTGAATAAACAAACAGAAGGCTTCCAGTCAGTGAAGTGTTTTCTTGCTGTGCTAGTTCTTCATGATTCTCCCCCTGCTCTCTTCATGGCCTGGCTGCTTCGGTCCCTTCCGCCAGCACTGTGTCTGGGCCTTTGCTCCTTTCCCTGCACTTGCTTACTTTGACTGAGTCTGGCTGCTGTGGTGAGCTGGAGAGTTTCTTTGCCTGCTGCTATTTTGGGGTCCAGCATAGTTAAGTGCTTGCTTATTTCCCATTAAAGTTAATAGAACTTTAGAAACACTTTTTTTGCTGACTCAGGTCTTGATGAGCAACTGGTGCAAACACACCTTGTTACTAGTCCTGGAAGACACTTTTTGTACCTTTTCCAGGGAACCTGCTCTCAGAAACTGGTTTTTCTCTGTCAAACTCTTTTTCAAGGTTCCACTGAAGAAGACTTCTCACCCACGTTCAGAAAACCTCCCCACCCTTTGGATTTCATCAGTGGAGAGTCTTCTATGTCATTTCTCCTTAGTATCAGGGGAAGTTTGACTCAAGGCTCACAGAAGAAGTAATAGTTTCAGAGCAACAGTGTTAAGTTCCAGAGGGCTTGGGCTGAAGAGCTTTGGCCACATGTCTTAACGCTGGCTGCTAGATATCAACAGTGCTGCAAGAGCTGCAGTGTCTTTGCGGAGGGTACTCGTGCAGTGCTAATTTAGCAGATATCATTAAATTATTCTGTAATTATACCAGCAATAACAATCATACCTTGAAGCTTCTAGACAAAGCCTCACTGTACAATGAGGCAGCATTCCTTGCTTCCCCCAGGCACAAAGATTGAGAAAGCAAACCCTGTGCATGCTTTCATGCAGGGTGAAGAGAAGCAGAATTTATGGTCACCACCTCCCTATCCACAACAAGAGCATCTGTCAGGTCACTGACTGATTTTCCAGGTATTTGATGAGAGCAAAGGCTCTTTATTAGAGGGAGGCTTTGTAGTTGTTGGATGTACACAGTCAAAATTGTCCCTCCACCCCACCCTTTCCTTTCATAACAGGTCTGTAGAGTTGGTGGACCTTGAAGGGAGATGTACAGAGCTGCTGGGAGTAGCTGCAATGCGGTTGGTCTTCTACAGCTGCTCTGCAGTGTAGATGTGTAGTTTGTGTGTTCTTTAACCACGCTCATTTCATCCTGGGTAAATAATCTGTAGAAGCCCTTATTGTCACAATGCACATTAAGTACCTTTAAGCTTTCATTTACTCTTTATTATGTCTCTGAAACAGTGAACCATACCTGTCAGGAAGTTAATATTGAGAAGTCTTCAATCCTAACAAGGTGGTGAGCTCTTCTGGAAGCAATACTTTGCTGCATATTGGATCATAAGGCCAGAGTTTGTGTTTTTTCGGGCTGTTTTCACTGGACTTCATATAGGAAAATAGTGAGGGACTTTGCCTGGACTTTACCTTGCACCTGTCCTTATTTGCATACAAAACCCAATTGCTTCATTTGTCTTTCTGCAGTACAGGGTGTGAGCAAAATCTTATCAAAAGCCATGTCCTGTTTGGACAAGTTGGACTGACTTGGCAGAGATCCACAGGGTGGAGTGAATGGGAGGAGGCAAGAAAGAAAACTGGGTGGCTTGTTAGCAGAAAAAGAGAGGGAGAGCAAAAAAAGGAGGGTGGAATGTTTGCCTACTGGATTGTAGTTAATTATTTAGTTTCAGATTACATGCATTTTAAATTCTTTTGACCCACATGAAAAACCCCTTTAATGCAAAATAGTTTATCTAACAAAGTGAAAGACAAAGGCCCTTATTTTTTAATACACTTAATATGAATATATTGTTGTCTTTTCACTGTTTTTTCCAGAGTACCTCAGGAATGAGAGGCAGTATTTTGATTTTCCAGAAATTAGTTGTGTTTACTAAACAATTTGTGGGCTTTCAAACAAGTACATTATGAAATCAGTGTGTAAAGTAGAACCCAACTGTTTTTTCATTCCTCTGTAATAGAAACAGATAAGGCTGTTTACCTTCTCTATTGCCCCCTTCTCAGATGTTTAGGAGAGAGAGATTGTGAGCTTTTGAGCTAGCAGGCATGATTTTACAAATAGACCAGGAAAAACTACTGACTTCTTACTAGAAGTAGCATGCTTTGTTTTTGTATGAGTGTGCATGCATGTGTTTTGTTTGTGAATGTGGTCCAAGCAATCAATTTGGAACATTATTTTTAAATACAATGAGAATTGTTCTGTGAGTTTATTTGCAGCCTAGGGAAAGTGTCCTTCTGAGCTAAATTTTAAATGCCAGACCCAAAGCTGGTTTATATTGACTCTATAGCAGCTCTATCAGTTTCCACCAAATAAGAATCTTACCCTCTGACCTGGACCGACAGGACCAAATATTATATGTTAATTGATTTTCCTTTCTTGAAAATTGGTTTCCAGTCACTATCAAATAGGGAAAAGAAACCTACCGTTTAAGAGTAACATGGTAACGAAGTGCTCAATTTCTGTACTATGATGCAGCAACAAAAGTAATATTTTCCTCTGCTATTCTTAGATGACTGTACCTCAAAAAGACTGAGAATCTCTTTTCACTTTTATTCAGGGCATTACACTTTCTGTTGTCTATGTCAGTCTAATTCCTGCACAGTAATTTAGATCCCTCTCAGGAAACAGTCAAATGTGTATCAACACATCTGAAATGTGTATCAAGTGTCTTTCACACACTTTCTTGAAGTAAAAGGTGAAAAGGAGTAACTCTTAAACTGGAGAAAATCCAACTTTAAAACAACAAAAATTATGAAAAGATTAGCCTAGGAGCATGACTGCATGCTTAGAACAAACTCTTTCTTTCCTTCTCTTTCTCACTCTCTATCTTTCTTTCTCTTTCTTTCTGTCTTTTTCTTTCTCTCTACTCTTTTTCTTTCCCTCCTTTCTTTTCTTTCTTGCTCCCTTCCTCCCTTCCTTCCATTACAAATTGGTGTGTCACTTTATCCATGCACATGTAAACTAAAAATTTAAAGTTTCTTGAAACCTGAAAGCAAGTACTTCCAAATTCTTACATGCAAGGTCTGAGATGGTACATTTTACTGCAAACATTTTTTACATCTAAAAGTATAAATTTTTTCTGTTTTCACAATGCATATATATGTATGGGAATGTGTGTGGGTGATGGATAGATACACATACATATATTTGATGTGTGGATATATTTCTGGGAAGACAGTCCTCTGAAACATTAGTTCTAGCTATGTGAAATGTGAAAAGCCTGAAAAAGATAACAATTTAAAGAAAAATAGTATAGTTACTGACCTTCTCACAGACATACTTAAAGTATTTACAAAATTATCACAGCTTTTAACAAATAGTGCCATCTTGCACAACTGCTTCTAAAATAAAACTACATGTTAAGATTAAACTGGAAATTGCATTGAGCTGCTCTGTTTGTTTCACTTCTTTGCAATTTGGTTTTGTCAGGCCTTTGACTTTTGTAGGAAGAGTTATGAAGATACTTTAATTTACTTTTGATACTTGTTTGTTTCTGTTATTCAAAATGTATGCTGTTGTAGTATATTTTCATAAGTCTTTAAACTTTATTCACATACCTGAATAATTAATGATAGGCTTGTAACAACTCATGCTATCTTTCTCTGGAAGCTCTTAACAGTTTTATCTAAAAACACATGTGATAGTTCATTGCAAGGTTGTTCATTAGTGTAGGCTTATTAGAATTGTTTTAATTTGAGAGGGTACATTTAAGTTTCTGGGAGAATTTCCCAGCCCCAACTACAGAGACGTTTTTGAGCCTTTAGCCTACTTCCACAGGGTGAAATTGTCTGGATGGTGTGGTTTGGCTGCATTTGTTTCTTTCCAGTGCCATCTGCTGGTCAAAATTGATTTTATTTTTTTGTCCTCACGAGGTCATAGCACTTCCCAGGGAGGGCTGTGCACTGTACAGTGTATGGTCAGAACTTGCTCCTTTAACATCAGTCATATAATGTGTAACCTCAAGTGATTTATAAAAGCTCGCCAACATCTAAATGTCACTGAGAAAAACTTTCTTTTGCTTCTCTTTGTTTTTACTGTGTACGTGAAAGTTTCAACTTTTCTGTAAGGGCAAGAGATAATCCTCCCCAGAATCAGTTCACTGTATTATCAGCTAAATAAGATTATTATGAAGTTATAATGCTGATGAGAAATGCACAGTCTAAACTCTGATGTGTTTACACACTAATGACAGCTAATGAAAGTGACAATTCTGTGATCTTGGTATGCTGACATGCACAATGAAAATTCGAATTAACTTTCATTAAAGTGAGCAGCTGTCCCTTTGTTTCAATAACAATTGGGAAAGAATAAATTTACAATAACTGAAGTATTTAAATGAAGCTCAGTCAAATATTTAAGAAGCTATGTTAGAGTTCACAATAATCTGACAAAATTGTTAGTTCCTTACAGTTCAGAAAGTTGATTATGGAGTTCCCTGTGGCTTTCTAACACCTTGTCTTTCCCCTGCAGGCCAGGACATCAGAGGCATCAGAACAGGTGAATAAAGAAGATGCTAATGTTTGACCCAGTCCCTATCAAGCAGGAAGCCATGGAGCCTGTTTCAGTGGTAAGACTTAAAATATTTTAGCCTTTGTGATGACTGTAGTTTTTCCACTTTTACATTCATACTGAGTTTTCTCTAAGCTTTAGACTAGCCTAGGAAAGGCTGTAATGTTATGTTTGGTTTTAGGACAATCAGATTTACATTGTAGGAAAACTCTTTCTGTAGTTTATTAATTATTGCTCCTGAATGACCTGCCTCGTTACCTCCACTGGTCCTCCCATCCACAGAGCAGGAACATCTAAGTAATCCTCAGCCACTGTAGTGCAAATATCTCTGTAGCACATGCTGCTGATGGAGATGGGTTGAAATTAAGTTGCCAGACTTCACAGTGAAGTGGCAAGAGCCTGTGGTTTCGATGTTACACGTTTGAACTAAACGAGCACCTGCTCACTGTCCCCTTTTCTGTTTCTCTCTTGGCCTTGAAGACATGTGCCTGGGGTTAACTCAGCTCTCTAAACAGCAGAAAATTAATCCTGTCAAAAAAAGTAATGGCTTTTTGCTGGATAAACTGGGTGCATTACCATACCACATGAACAGATGGAACTAGGGCAGTGGAGGAGGAATGGGGAAAAAAGGGGAAGGGGAGACTTTTTGATTGGATTAATTTTCTGTCAACTTGCTGTATAGGGTCAGCTCAGAGAAGAGTCTGATGAGCAAGAGCAGCAGGAACATGTAGATGGGAGGGAGACAACGGGAATTGTGATGATTTAGGCTGCCAGGGAAGTATGGCCTTAGGAAGCAGTTTCATACATACTTTTCCTATTCAGATGTAGGCTGCTGCTGAAAGGGAAGGCTCATGCTTTTCTTCCTCCTTTCCAGCTTTGTGTCTCCTTTGTATGACATGACTTGATTGTGTGGCCACGGAATTATTTGGATCCTTTGGATCAGCTTATTGAATGGTCAGAACTGCTAACCCACCAAAAATACCCTTATTTTTTGGTTGGATCAGGAAGCTGATCTGACTCATTATGTGCAGCTGCTCAATGCTAGAGCAAGGGGAGTCGGAAGGATGAGGGAACAGGACCTCCCCTTTCGGCAGTAGCCTGCAATAAGATCAGGTTAAGTGTAACATGAAACCACACTACTAGAAATCAATTAAAAGCATGAAGTCAGTGTGCGTAGACTGCATTAAAGTCATGTTCTCAATGGCATCTTTCAGTTAAACGTTTGCTTCCTGTTTTATTTAAAATGTAGAATAATTGTAATCAATTTAAATGCATCTGTAAGCAGTCTGATTTCTTCAGTGCTGTCAGTAACACTTTAGAGAGTTCAGTTTATATGCATTTTTAAATTACAGTTTGACTTTTATGGGGTTTATTTACTTGAGAGCCCTGATAGGAAAAGAACTGATCTGTCACTGAGGGTGCAAGTATGACAAATTCCAATATTTGGGTGAAGAACGAACCTTAGTATTAGCCAGTCTGTCTGTCACTTCAATCACAACTATTGGAGAACCTTGTTAAGATTAGTGATGATTATCTATGACTATCTAAGGATGTCTAATGAGGCCCATCAAAGGTGGAAGATAGGCCACTTGTACATTGGAAGTGTCATTAAATGAATAACAGAAAAATCACTATAGAGATACTGTGGGCTGTCTTTTGTACACATCTGCCTTCATCTCCCAAAGAACATTCTGGAATGGCTTGGGATGATGCACATGAGAGACACAAGATCCTGTCCCAGATGGCTGTGTGCTTCTGCAAAACAGATGAGGTCAGTCCCTCAACAGGCTGACCAGGAGAGAAGTGAGCAGTCTTCCCCAGACCAGCAGATGAAGGAAAAACTGCAACAGGAAGAACAAGGAAGCATTTCTGAGCCAAGTGCATTTCAAGACTGTAGTTTCAAATGTTGCTTATTCTATACCACATGCTCCTTGCAGGGGTGTGGTGCCTTCCCCACATTGGATCTCTGGAGTCATCCTGGGTGTTCTTATAACTTGGTGTCATCACTCTGACCAGCTGTTAGAGATTCTTCAGAGCATTTTACCAAATTTATATGCTTTCCCTTTTGTTATTGCATAATGAAAAAAAAAAAAAGGGGGGGGGGGGGGGAAAGGAAAAGCAGAAAGTCCAGAGGAAAGGACATTTTTTGAGTGAGGTTCCCCTGGTGGAGATTACTCTGGTTTCCCTCGGGCTGAAGTGTGTGTTTCAGCTTCTGTACACTCATAGGCTGTTTAGCCCTAAGCCCTTGAGGTCCTGGCGTCCCCAGCACTTCTTGGTTTTGTGGCTTCCTTGGATCACTGATGCCATGGCTCCCCAGAAGAAACTGCTATGGAAACAGCTCTAACGGGAGGAATTGTGGTACAGGGAGAATATAGGAAAGGATAGCTGCCACTGAGTGTGTTACTTTTCTTTTGAGGAGGTGGTAAGGAAGAGGAACTGTTCCTCTGATGTTTTGGAGGTGTTAAGCATAGCATTCAGTTCACTGCGGGCTGACACAATCAGGATTTATTTGCGTTGTATCTTTCATTCTGATAGTATCATTAGAGGCCAAACTAAATGAAACTCCTTGGGAATTATTCATTATTTTACCTGAATATACACTGTCCATAGGTACAAAATCTGTCTTTAAAAAGTAGCAGTAACTGGGGTGGGAGAAGGAAACAAATTCTGGTTTTGACACCACTGTATTTCAGGGTGTGTGGATGAAAGGATTAAATATACTTCTCAGGTGACTGAAGCTCGCACCCACAGTATTTCATCACTCTAACAACAGCTCATGCTCTTTATTGAATTGAATTATTGAACACATTTTATGATCGTTCTTAATGAAACACTGACAGAGTCATCTGAGTCCTACCTAAGTATTTGCTCTGAGAACTTTCTAAACATTTGGACAAATACCAGTGACCATTTAGTGAAAGCAGTTGCTTTTTTGTGTGTTACGATCTTTGAACGTAAATAAACAGCTTTTCTCTGCCCTTCCCATCAGTCCCAGAACTACTTGTTTCACCTGTTTTAAAGATAGGTATGTGCTACATGAGGGGTTGGGGTTGTAAGTACAGATTTCATGTGGTGAGAATGCTTTTTCGTGTATTAGCTACTATTTGGATTAAATCCTATTCATCCTCTTACATGGTAGTGATTTGACAAATATTGTAAGTAGACAAGCAGATTCTTCACCTGCTTCTGTTTTTCCAAGAGGCTGGCTAGATTTTTAAGTTAAATTCATAGCATTATATAGTTTATAAAAGACTTGGTGAATTGCTTCAAAAGCTGTTTGCCTGTACAACAAAGATGATGTTTCACTGTGTCAGTATAACAGAATTTAGCAAATTCTAACAGAGTAGTGCCTGATAATGTTCCCTTGTGGAAACAGCAGTGTTCTGAGTGGCGATAGGTGTGCTTGTGACGTATTTGGCCAGTCTTTATTCTTGATAGATTGTCAAGAGGAAAAGCATGATGATTCTTTCTCCTTTTGGATTTATTGATTTAATTGTATGAGCCACGTGGATATGACTCAAAAATATTAGAAGTTCCTTTGATTTGTTTTTCCAGTTTCTTTTGTGGCTCAGTGCTCTGTATTTTATTACAGACAAACAGCAAAGAAAGGTAAATGAATTGCTTTGTAAGACCCAAAGAGGGAAAGTAGTTGTATCAAACATTAAAAAGAGTTAGATGGAGACTGTGAAAGAGTTGAAATACAATCCTGCATCATTATAATTATCTACTGCAATGACATACCATTCTGCACAGGGATGTTTAGGAAAGCAGAATTTACAGGAAGGTGGGAATTTGCTGGGTTTCTTTCAATTCAAGTCAGACCAAACTCCTCCATATACTCTTTCTACACACCAGAAATCCAAGGAAAATGTATCATCTTCAATATTTCAGGCAACAGAACAATGATACCTAATTTCCCATTGTTCCACCGGAATGCTTCGCCTAAGTTCTAGGACAGGTGAGGAAAGACCGCTCGTGCAGGCTGTGAAGTACACTCCTTCTTAGAGGTGGTGGCATTTAGAAAACCCAACAGGTAGTTGGGCTATTTTTTGTTTTCTGTTGTTAATACTCCCTGTTTACAGGGGGATACTGTGAAGTCTTCCTTACTCTCCCATCCCAGATCCCCCTAGAGGTACTGTCCACTTCCCTGGCAAAGAAAGGGAAGGTGACCTACCAGATTTGAAAGCAGCGGTTCATATCAACCTAATGGCAGTTGCTGTGTCCCACGGAGCTAGAAACTGAAACTTTGCTATGCTAAAAGATACAGGAAGCTTAACTTCAGAACCAGGAGATAGATCTGAGTGTGATTTACCTCCAAACGAACAGGTTTCCAAACACAGTTCATTGATAGTGAAGGAAAACTGTTTTCCACCAGTGTCTGATTGACAGCAGATATTCTCATTGTTCTAGGATCCTTCTCAATTTTTTCACCCATTTTCTTCCCAACACAGATAATTTATCGTGCCACATTTTTCTATCACTTTATCTGCAGTTCAGGTAGAAAGATAGCAATTAAAATTGCAGAAGGAAGAAAAGTTTAGAGAAATTGTTCAGCTTTCCCAAACTGCCAGAAAAAATAGCTGTTGTTGTATCTGTGCCAGCTTAATTGCAACAATGAAAACCTATGCAAAATAATGCAAGGCATATGGAGTAAAATAACCAAGTCTCTAAAATAATAATTTATTAAAAACATATTTATTTTTTTCCTAATTCTTGGAAGGTGTTTCTTCTTTGTCCAAATATATTTTACCTAACTTTTCTAGTTTACGGTTCTCTGCACAACATTTTAATAGCTTGGTATTCTTTCAGCACACACACCTGGTGTTACTTGAAGAGTTGAAAGATAACTGTTTATATAGAAATGTTACAGCTTGGAAATGTCTCATTCTTTAATAGACTCGTTGACCGAGAACGTTCCCTAAGATTTAAATTGCATAATCTTTTGATTTTTAGTATTCTTGCAGTGGAAGAAGTGTTCATAGGTAGTGACCTTGTGGTCATCCCGGGCAAAACTGCAGCACTGTAAATGCACTGATGCTTACTGGTGGAACATTTATAGTTTGTTGAAGCTGTGTAAACTTTGTACTGTAAACCAATAACAGCAATTTTAACGGAAGCGCTTAATTTCTCTTATGTGTTTGAATTTTGAAGTTTTGCCTATGCCTGTAACTTGATCAGATTTAGTAGGTATTAAATGCTGTTAAATATTAGACTCCATCAATATTCAGCGGTCTTCGTTACTTAGAATGCTAATGGTTTTGTTGCTTGGCTCAGCAGTGGTGGAAAACCTATAGAACTTGTTTTAGCCAGCACTGCTTGTAATAATGGCATTTTAATAGAGCTCTGAGGAACCAGTTACTATCAAAGATGAACATTTTTATAGATTGAATTTGTAAGAATAGTTGTAAAGAGTCATAAGTAAAGTTTCAGATGTTTTAATGTAATATTTACTGTTTGAAGATTAATCACCATTGTGTATGCTGCTTTATTTGAGTATTTTATGGAATAGGTGACTCAGCTTTATTGTTTTATCACAGTGCTATGAATGCAGTAGGAAAATTTAGTATTTTCTAAACTCACCATTTCAGACAGTACCTGAAAAGAAGAAAAATACATTTTTGTCATTTTGCAAAATTACCTTTAGTTAACTTTGACATTTAAAATCAATTAACTGTCCCTCACAGGGAAATAGAGGTAAGAAACCAAGAAGATTTGTTGCTACAAGTTTTAACCCCAGAAAAAAAAAATTATATGTCCTGGAAATGATTGTATAAAAATACAATAGTTTTATACTTCTTATCTGTTTCACTTTCTGCCATTTTGAACTTTTTTTAATCCCAGTCATCAAAGTGCTTTTGGTGCCAAAGAACTCATCAGGTTTTTAATATTAGTGTGAAAGTTTTTAGCTTTAATGTGAAGCTTTACTTACCTAGAATCCAAAGATAGTTTTTAAAAAAATTCACAACATCTAAGGGCTAAAATCCTGTGTGGATTGCATTTTCTATGTCTATCTGCTAGTAAAAATCTCAGTTTTCAACACTTTTTAAATGCAAAATTGTTGTGGATAGTTGTTTAAGAATACTATAATCTGCAATGAATGTTAATACTTCTTGGTTTACAAAAATTATTTCCACTAATATGGGGAGATTGATATGTAGGTCAAGATTAGCTTTGGACTTTGTACGATCTTTTAACGAGAACCACTAGCCACCGCTACCAAAAATGTTCTTCCAGCATGCCAGGTGTTTATCCTTGTACTAGCTTTTCAAAATCAGACTGGCTAGTTAGCTGCTTTATTTCTCAAAAAAAAAAAAAAAAAAAAAAAAAAGTTTAGAATTTACTTTTTGCACTCTTGAGTTTCTTATACATTGCTTATATAGTTCAGCTGTGTATTTTTTTTATTGCTTTTAGGGTTCAGATACATAATTTCTTGCTTCAGTGATGATTGTTTTCCAATTACTTAAGCAGTTGATTGAGACCCATTACTTGCAATTCTGCATCCAGTTCAACTCTCCTCTTGCTTGACTTCATGATCCTCAGTATGTAGATACACGCTGGGCATAGCACCATATATCTCCCAGGTCAGTTGAGTAATGTGCAGCTTAGTATATGAAAAGTAGTTTTAAAGGCAGAAAAATAGTTGAATAAGCCTTGAGGATTTGTTTTCATCAGCTGTTTTGCATTGCTTCAGAAACAGTGAATCAGTACTTGATTAACTTTGTGTGAAATCTTAGGCTTTATTCACTTTTATTTAGAAAGTACATTAAAGTGATTTCTTGATACTTTTTAATTTTGTCTCAGTTTTATTAGCTGCCTTTCTTTTTCAGCAGTAATTATGTGTTGTTGGTTTTTGTTTTCCCACTCCTTCTTACAGTCATACCCATCCAATTACATGGACCAAATGAAGCCAAACAAATACAGCGTCATTTATTCTACACCGAGTATGCTGCACAATAAATTCTACTCGAGCCCTGAAGGACTATCAAATGGAATCCAGATGGAGCCAGTAGACCTTACGGTGAACAAACGGAGCTCACCACCTTCAACTGGAAGTTCTCCTTCCCCCCTAAAATTTCAGACTGTGCACAGGAGAACTTCACCTGGATTGACTCTGTCCTCACCCAGCTCACCTCTCAGTAAATTCACACCATCACCCCCAGGAGTACAGCCTATTTCCATGCCAATAACAATCCCACCTGTAATGGCCGCTGCTCTTTCACGCCACGGGCTGAGAAGCCCTGGAATACTCCCAGTTATACAGCCTGTTGTGGTCCAGCCGGTTCCTTTTATGTATGCTCCCCATCTTCAGCAGCCCATCATGGTGTCCACAGTTCTTCCAGATGAGATGGAAACTCCAAGTAGCATGCAAGGTTGGTGTTGTCAGAGGTTCTTTTTCATGCCGTCTCATCCTGGGAAAATAACTGTAAATCTAAACACTTTCTTGTGTGATTTTCACATTTTAGGAAACGCAACATAATTCCTGTTCTTCTAAAATATGCAGGCATAGAATCTACAGTGTAAATATTTTACCAGACTTACCAAGGTCATATTCTGTTCTGATTTATACCTGCCTAAAGCTGTTTATTGACTGTGATTTGGACTGATAAAAATGTTGGACTGATCATAGAATCATAGAATGGTTTGGGTTGGAAAGGACCTTAAAGATCATTGAGTTCCAACCCCCCTGCCATGGGCAGGGACACCCTCCA